ATAATTTAAGGACATTGGCAAAGTTCCTAGCTTTCGTAAAGAATTTTTCAAAAACTCTTGAGCAGGTGTAGTGGTACTAAACAATACACTTTATTGGTTTTCACCGCGTAGAAAATTCTACACGGGAGATCACTCTCAATCAAGCTCCAGACAGCTCAGTATTATTCCATATCATTATTCGTAGGGAAAGTAGTCCCGGAGAGTATGGAGTATGACTCTCAGTCATTCTCCATACAGTGTCAATTCTCCGGGACTACTTGGTATGGAGTTGTAGCGTAACGTAATACTGAGCTGTCTGGAGCTTGGACTCTCATGATGGAAAACCCCATGAGTTACCTTTTTCTCCGGATAACCGTGAGTTGCCTCTTTCCATAAATGAATAAAATAAATAATCATAAATAATCAGCATTATTTAAATGAAATATATTTTTGATTTAAAATTAGACTGAAACGCTTCTAGTCGACATCACGAAAATGTACATATCATGTAGCTTGAAATGGGAAATATGACGCACGCTTGACAACGTCCCCAGAAACATTCAGTCAGTATATTTCTGGGTGCATTTGGGGGAGGGGGGGTGGTGGTTATTGCACAAATTAATGTAGAAAATAGAAATTCCTTGATACGCAAAAAAGGAAGAGGATCAACTGATGTTCCCTCCCCCTTCCCCCGTTCATACAGACGTGAGATACATAAATGACTTGTATATAGAACTGGACATTCAACTTTGCCCAAAATGCTTTACGTCGGTAATAAAAGAAAATATTTTACAATAATGATTTCAAATTTTAATCGGTCATGCAATACAACCTGCTACATTATCCCAGTCTGACTATTACAGTAAAATGTGTAATTTCTTTTTCTTTCTTTTTCTTTTGGCTAAAAAAAATTACAAAAATGAAACATTATAATTTCTTTTGTAGTTCATTATGACGAGGAAGAGTGATATTTTTATAAGAAAGAATTAATCCAAACCATGATGATACTTAAAATCTGATGTATTTGTTTTCAACATTGAGATACCTGTTTCAAGCTTTAACATTACATGTATTTTGTTTCTGCAGTAAATATAGATCGAATACAACATTAGGCTATATATTACCCTATCCACAAATAAAGGGCAAAATATGATTATAAACTGAAAACAAGTTAATTGTTAAAACTAAAGGGAAGCATATACATACTTTTATTTTTTATCGGTCTTAGTATTAAACTCTACATTTGGAATAAGAAATTTTTTAAATATTGTAATAAAAATAGACTATATATAATTATATAATTATATCACAATTTTGATGTGTACGCATGAATATCATAAAAGTATTAAAATTTGTTCTTCAGCATAATTTATTAAAATAGAGAATTCATATCTATTGATTTAAAACAAACACATGACCATTACATTGTCATTGCTATCTGCCGCGGGCTCTACCTGCGGGTACCTGTCAGGTATACGAATACTTCACACCCCCATTGTTCTATTGCCTATACACACCGGCAGATTTCACACCTTTAATCGTCCTAATTTACACAAGGCAAATGCTGGGGGAAAACAAACACAAGCCCAATAAATGCGACATTTTTTTAAAAAAAAAAAATTCATTGCTCTAAACGGCATTGCTAAAAGCACACTAAACATGGAGTAGCAATTCTTGCCCTAAGAGATATATTGTACAAAGAAATAAACACAACAGCTAGGGTAAATCCTTAATCTTTCTTCATATGATGTAAACAAACTCTCTTTAATTTTATGTGTTTAAGTCAAGATTAAAACATGTTGCACCACCCGGACCTTTAAACATAGGCGGACCTTTTCTTATACGGGCCGGACCTTTTCTTATAAAAGGCGGACCTTATATGTTATCGTATTAGGTCCCCCCGGACCTTTAAACGAGGCGGACCAAATATTATGCGACACCGGTCGAAAGGGGATGCTTTCTTCTCCATAACATCTTATCTCACCTTATATGAATCCTTGTGTGTCCTGAGCGTACATTTGTGTTTTTTTTTAATTTTAAGCTTGACTGCAGTTCATTATCTTCAAATTTTCATCACTGTATTTAATTATCAAGCTAATTTTTTTCATTCAATTGTTTAGCACTGGTGTTAAATGGTAGTGAACAAATTTTAAAGGAATCAGATTCAGTTTCCTCAATAGTTTATTGTTTCCTTTAACTTAGCTTGTAAATGCATACGGTGTTTCCTGTACTTTAAGTCGTAGATTATGATCTACATATAATCTTATACAAATGCCGCTGTATCAGATATAAACAAGATATCATCTGTATATTTACGTAATCAAAGGTGAAACAACTGAATGTTAGTGATTTATGTTGAATGAGCGTCAATTTATGAATGAGGTCTATCTAAATATCAGAAAGAATTTTTGAAGCTATGCAAGGTAGTTTTTGTACCCATATTTTGAAATTCCAAAAAGTAGTAATAATAAAAAATAACATAAAGTACAAATTTACTTTAAATTCAAATATTTTGCCAAACGAAATGTCCACTGCAATATATTTGATTAAATCTAGTAATTAAATCATTATAATATGTTTTATATGCATTTAGTTTTTGAGAGAAGTATATATACCGGGTATATATTTTTTATAATACTAGTACATGTACTTTATGTAAGTCGCCATAAAGTTTTGAATATGAAGACCTTAAATAATCTTTAGAATATTTGTAAATAAATAAATAAATGACACTTCTTGAAGAAGCACGGCGAAAACGAATAGGCAATAAAAATACTACATGCAAGTAAAATTATATGGAGGAAAATACACTAGTTTCTTTGGGTTTTTGGTTACCATTAAATTATGTTTTGTCACACTGTTCACGATTCTCACGAATAATTAAAATCTAAATTATAGTTAAAAAGAGAAAATACGAGTTTTATTTTTTGTGTGTGCACTTTTCAAAGTTATAAACACATTAGGTATTGTTTTGTTAGAAACTCGAACATAAAAAAATATAAACAACGCAGTCACCATTGAACATCTGTTTTTTATTTAGAACCAATATGTACCTACTTGACTTAGGTCTACACACAAAAAGACAAATTTACTTCAATTCAAATATACATCAATAAATTAACTTTAATTTCTTGATCAAACGTTAAATACACAATAAGAATGTGCTAAGAGCTGTTTTTAGTATGACAATATTCAAAATATTTACTGAAAAAAGTTGTTTGCATTTTTCTTTAACAAAGACCTTTTTTATTAGAGCAATGTGTTTCGGTCTATGTTTTTCCTCTGAGGAAAAAAAGAAGTCTTTCTGCAGAAATAGACTTTGAAGAATTTCTATTATGAAGATTTGTACAGCGATATACTTAAAAATATTACAAAAGTACAAATAAGAACAAACAGTGCGCCTCAAGTATGTACCTGATTCAAAGAGAAAAAATATGTCACGAACGCCCTCAGAGACCTTCAGTGGAAGAATCAAAATACAAAAAGGAAGAAAAACGATAGGCAAGAGAACAAGTTTACGATTGATGTGCATTTAGCAAGAAGATACTTGGCCACCCATGTTAAATTACAGGGTTTTTTCAAGTCGTTGAAAACAAAACTTCGATTTACGAAGGAGTATTTAAAGAGGATGACTGCATATTCCTAGTTTGGTGATATTTAGTGAAACATCGATACAAGTCAATCAGAAACATCAAGATTTTGAGAAGTATGTAGATAAAGCACTGAAATGATAATTTCACAAATAATGTGGAACATGTATGCATTATGAAGGACTTTGCACAAATTAAATATATGTTTGAATTTAAGATTATTTCTTTACACAACATGGTACTACATAATTAAAAAGAGTTAGATTTTTAAATCATAGGAAATATGACATTTTTAAAATCATTGTACAGGAAAGAGTTAATAAGTGCATTTATATTATCAAATTTGTTGAAAATTTTTGATTAACATGAAAAGTTCACATTAATTTGAACCGGGAAAAAAGCTGGGGAAAATCGCAATCGAATTTGCATAAATAACACGATTACGAGATGTCGACTATTTGGTTTACTTCACCGTACTTCTGTTATGTTCAACAATGGCGCCGACATGTGCAAAGCCACCGCCTGAATAATTTAACACATAAAGTGAAATGTAATCATTTCTGATCATGTTTTCATTTTTCATAAAACACGTTCATCGTTAAGTTGATTGTGCTATAACAAATAAATATCTCATATGTTAATTGTTTATACTGGCATGATATATGGATTGCCGTCTGTTTGGAAAGACATAATCTGCTTCTGTGACTTCAAAGCAAAGCATGATGGGTTATAAATCATTCGAGAATTTCATTTCATAGTTTTAATTTCAAATGTTTCTTTTTGCACCTTTTAAACACAATGTTATCATAATTTTGAATACACGTGAATCAATGTTAGAAATATATAAATCCTTTTCCTTTCGCAATTTCTTCACCCAGGATCAAAGAAAAAAACATTTAAATTTTTGTGAAAATTCTTCACATGTTCTTTTCATTATATGAACTGTAAACTCTCCATGAGGGTAATTCGTAGGGGACATATCGGGATGTAAATATTATGAATGTTTGTGTTTCGTACACATTTGAACCTACATGTAGTTGACACATTTTTTCTTCCTTTGTAGACTTCAAATGGAGGAGAAGGACTTTTAATAATTAAACCACTTGTTATTCCGCTGATTCAAGAATATCAAAACCTGATATTTTAATACATGATGTTTCATTTTATAAAAGCTTAGTATGTGGTCTGCAAATGTACCTGTATGCACTGCTAATCTGACAATGCCCTTTCATATATGTATCGTAAGACTACAGGTAATTTTTAAAACTTTTAGATGTTAAGGTCAGTTAAATACACTTCATGGTCTGTAGACAAGGAACTATTATGCGTTTTACGTCACAGCAGAAATTGATATAAATAGGGCTGCCGCCAAGGACGATTATCATTTTGTAAGATTTTTTAAAACTTGTTCCTACTAATTATTTGATTTGATTTAATTTGACATTTGTCTTTAAACATGGTGGTTGCAATGCAGAAATCTATGCAATGTATGGTAGTAGGTGATGGATTCGTTGGGAAATCCTGCATGGTGCAGAAAATGGCCAGTGGTCAGTTTCACAAGGAATACATTGCCACTTTGAAGGACCACTATAACACAAGCTTGTTTATCAACGGTGACCGTTATGACATTAACATCACCGACATTGCTGGAGAGGTGAGCGAATACTTTGCAGTATAGTTTGAATTGAGATATGTACCAAGAATGAGTTTTTAGCGTCGCATTTTTATTTTTTACAAACAGAAATCACTAAAGCATTTTTTTTCTTTTTGCAGCACGAAGATCTGTCATCTCTGAAAATTCCCGACATCTTCATTGTATGTTTTAGTTTGGTCGACAGAGATTCGCTAGACAGTGTAGAAGACTTCTGGATACCTAGAATAGAAGCACTGGGAAAGAGCATTCCGATAATTCTTGTGGGAACACAGATGGATCTGCGAAAATCTCTGAAAAAAGGACACGTCAAAACTGAACAGGGTCAGAAACTGGCCAAAAAACTGGGAGTCGATTATTATGTGGAATGTTCAGCGAAAGAAAATCATGGGATTTTGGAAATTTTTCAAAAGGCTCTACTGGCTAAAGTGAGAAGTGACAAGAGGAAATTAAATTTAATCAAGCGAATGCTTAATAGATGAACATTAGAACTGTTTCTCGAGGAAGTGAACCGTGTGTCACTATTGAAAAAAACAAAATTGTTGTAGAGCCAATAATTCCAAGGTATTCAGGAAGGCAGTGGTTGCAAAATCCCCGTATTTTGTCATCATTGGTAAGAAAAACGAGTATTTTGAAAGAATTACGTTATCTTCGTCTTGAATGTTTGAAGGGAATGTGAAAGTTCAGTAAGCTGAAGATAAGACTGGTGTTGTGTCAGTGTTTGATCTGCGCAGAAACTTTCAACGAAAGCATTTGACAGTGTTTAAATTCCACACGATATGAAAACTGCCATTTCAGCAGCAATACATATGTAATGAAATTGAATGTTAAATTGATAAAAATAAAGCTTGAGATAATATAATTTGGTATTAGATTGTTTGTTTGAGAATGTCAAAGCTTGCTCTGGGCTTGTTTGCTTCATCATCAATTTTACTTCAAGTACTAAGAAAACCAAAATGTAATGGACTTAAATCTATCTTTTACTGCAGTAAATAAAGATTGATACTAATCCTGAGGTTGACGCTATATACTTAGTTTAGAAACTTTCCACAGTCGAAAACTACTAGTAGTTATGTTATAATATAAAACTTAATTATACTTGTGGCCTGTGTCTGTACCCAAGAAAGCCTGAAAAATTCGTTCTATCAAAATACCAATACACTTACATATCGACACCAACTAAGTACTCAGGCAAATCTAACTAAAGAAACAAAAATACCCATAAAATTGTCCCTTTTAAGTACATGGGATCTAGTTATTACATGTGAACACTGCATTCATTTTCAAATGTTTTGTACTTAGATTAAAACTTGTGAAAAGTTTTAATAAAATTTCAAAAGCCACTGCTTCATTTATAAATGCTCTGACACATTCCTCACATTGTATCGAGATGGATTCTGCAAGATAGTATATATTAAAACAGACTGCAAGTAGAATAATAGGGTATACTGTGTCCATTTTTCAATTCCTAGAAGCTCTCTTTGACTTTGGGTGTGATTGATGTTTGCAAGCCTCAACATGATGAGGTTGCACTTTTGGTTGTTTTGACCTTTTGTCAGAGTGTCCCTGTGTTTATGTAAGGGGCACCTGTCACGGATATATGCTGTTTAGTGTCGGGTACCTGTTGTTTTAGTCCCCTCTTTGTTTCAGGAATGCTATGTACTTTAACTCTACAGATATCTCAACAGAATCTGTTTACGGCTGTTTCAAATTACAGAATGAAGGATTCTTTACATTTCAATAAGAATAAACAATGAAACAAAGACTCTGCTGTTTCTTTACCTCCGTCGTACATTCTTTGGAGGTATAACAGTGCACTATGTAAAGCAGTAATATTGATGATTATTTATTACTGTCTGTATAAATGTAGCAGACATGTTGTATTTATGCAAATTTTTAAGTACATTTGATTGGAAAACATGAAACCCATTCATAAAATTCGTATTTCGATAAATATTCTTTTAAATATAAAATCTGCTTCGAAAGGTAGATACCAGATTTCGAAGATAAACGTTGCATATAATAGAAATAAACATGATTGTATGTTACAGCCTTCACAATATAATTTAAATTCCTGATCAATTTCATACTAATTTAGAATGCCACGTATGTTGAATTTAACAATCGTTAAAAATTAAATCACATTTTACCGTGTTTTTCAATATTATCGCAAATAATGGGTAGATGAAGTAATATTGATTAAATTTAACTGTTGTATGCATAATGGATTATAGCCACGAATTTAAGCAAAACACAATTTCACTTTTTAAAAAAAAAATAGATCTTAAAAAAAATCACACCATCTGAATAAAACAAGGGAACTAAAAGATTTCTATTTATAGATGTATATACCTTGTGTTCGTAGTTTCCCCGATCGTGGAACATATATTTCAAGGTCAGATTTATTGCTTTTCGTGTAGCTTTTTGAAAAGTAGATGGTTAAGATTTGTTTAGATGGTGAAAGTTCTTATCTAATTTAAATTATAACTGATCAAAATTTACTAAGCTCTCTCCTGATAATGACTTTCACGTAAGTATAGTAGATCTTTGGATATCAGTAGCCTTCACTAACAAATAACATTAAAAATTACAAGAATTTTTGGAATAATTTTTTAAAGCAAAAATATAAATCAAAGTAATTGCTTGATTATACCAGTACATTTCCAAATGTCGACTATGTATGTAAAATGTTAAAATTAAGATTGATAAGTCGGGAGAAAAACAAAAAAAAATTGTTTATGGAAATAATGATAGAATTAGCATTATTATTTTCATAAATATAGCATACTAAGGAATTGCAAATTTGAAATAAATTTAAAATATCGTACAATGAATTTATGAAGGACAGTGTTTTGATTTATTGCATGGGTAAACTGACATAGATCCATTCCTTTCTTTGCTGTTTAAACAACCTAGATTGTTTAAACAGTTTAAACAATTAGTTTAAACAACCTAGATTGTGTGATATACTTTTGCTAGAACAGGTTAAAACTCTGGCAAAATAATTTTATAAAGTTAACGATAGTCGAGAAAAAACAATATTTACAATACTTAATAACAAGCATGTTGTTTAAAATAATTTTTGGCAACAATAAGCAATGTCAAATCATTATACTTTTTATGTACTTTATATTTGCTACTAAAACCTCCCTCAACCTTTCATGCAATTGCAATGTAGTTTTTACAAAAGGATAGAGGGTAGCGTAAGTTTTAAAAAAGCACTCGTAATGAAATTAAAACAATTTATGTCATTATTAAAATCTCAGCAACACAGTTAATTGTATAAGTATCTAGGTTTTTAGTGAACAGCACATATTTAATTATTTATTTATTTATTTATTTATTTTTAGCATTTGGATATTTTCACATATACCTTTCAACTATCAGACCGGTTTCATATCCTTGTACATAATAGTAATCATGCTACTGGCTTTCCTGCTATACTGACTTTGCTGACAGCAAAGGTTAAAATTATATGACTACAAACAATGTTGAACTTCTTATTCCAGATAAAATGGTAATTTTTGTGAAATGAAAGGTGACAGAAAAATATCGATATTTTTTGATCAGTTAAATCAAGTTTTCAGTATAGATAGTGAATGTATATACTATGCACCAACTAAAGCATGATTATAACTACCGGTAATATATAGCACCTCCCTCCCCCCCCCCCCTCGAAAAATGAACAGCATATGCTATACAATGAAAAAGATTCCATACCCAGGGGACATATGCTAATTTCTCTTTTCCACGATTTGGGTTTTATTTAAGTGAAAAGTATTAAAATAATTGTACGCAAGAAGGAAAGGAGAAGATTCTTTTATAATGTATTATATATCTGTTACATTAAATTTTCCCCTTCTTATATATTTGGCTTTAAAATGCACATTTGTAAAAAGAAAAGACTCGACTATACAGAACCTTCGAATTAAAAGGTAATTAATTTCTAGTTAAGTATGACATGATTATCATCATATTCCATATAAACGTGACCAAATTTATTACAATTATATCATTCAGCCTACACGACTTATAAAAGCATTTTATAAACCTAATGTAATAATATTTGCTATAATTGTAAAAACGTGATTCATTTACAATCGAAATCAAGAAAAAGAACCATGCTTGAATTAGATTTCCTTTATTTATGGATCTTGTTTTTTGAACATACACATATAAATGCTCTAATATTGTAGACTATTTCTTAGTTCTTTCGAAGTTATTCTTAACATCGAAATTATTATTTTTATTCCTTTGTAGAATGTAATCGCATTATATTAAATATTAATCTTATGCTATTTCCCTTAAAAAAATTTTTAATTACCTTATTCTGTAACTCTGAAATTACAAAATTAGGAATGTTAACTTAAATGTGTTCATTCTGGGCAATACAAATAGAAAACTTACTGATATGCATGAAAAAATATTATCTTAATATACTTATGTGTATCATGTACAATTAAATTCAAAGAGTCTGGAGTGGCTTTTTATTTAGACAATGACCATTATACACTTTAGACCATAGAAAACTTTAAAAACCATAATTCAAGTTACCAAAAATTATTATACTTTGTATTAAAGGAAGATCTGGTCTAGAAAGATTTCCTAAACAACGTAGAGGATTTCTGGATACCTAGAAAAAGAGCTTTGGAATACAACTTTTTTAAAAAAAATAATTCATGTCGGAACACAAAACCATAAAACAATAGACATATAAGAATGATAGTGGACGGATCGTGACCAAGGGACTGAGGGGAAAATTCAGTCAAAGGCAATTCTGCAACCAGGTGGAACATTTAAAAAAAACTACTCGAGAAACGTAATATGAAGAAACGAACAGTAATCAAATGTAAAAGTCCATTGAAACAATACAAGTGGAGTGGAGCAAACATGGACCTCTAAAAACATCAGAGATGGGATCAGGTGCCATGGAGGAGTAAGCATCCCCTGTCGACCGGTCACACCCGCTGTATGTTTCTTATCACAATTGGGCAAACGGAAAAATTCGTAAACAATTCAGTATGAAAATAATGGCTTAATTGTATGAAACGTCAGTCAGCATTCGACTTAATGATAGATTGTATTTGATGACAAGGTCATTGTATCGACCAGAGAATTAGCAAAATGTTGACTCTAATCGAGACTGTTAATATTTTTGTTTCGTCATCTTATTTGTCAATAACTTGCCTCGTTTTAGAAAATATTCGAATGTAGAGCATGCTCTTTCGTATCGAATCCACTGGGAGAATTAAGCAAATGATTGATATTTAGCTCCCACGAAATTATCTTTGTTTCACTTACGACAGTTACTATATATTGAAAGAACTATGCATGTTATAGAAGATCTTTGGCAAATCAAAACGCACTGACTTTTTCTTCTTAGCAGTTCGTTGCCTAAACGTTAACGGAAATCACAATGATGGAATGGTCTACAAACGACAGAGACACAAATGAAATAGTCTGCTTTTTGTCTTGATTGTCTTAGTATGCGTTAAATTATTATTTGGAAAATTTGATTTTCATTTATTTATCTATTTATCATTATTATTTTATTTTCATTTTATTTATCTGTTTATATTTTGTATTGTTTTGTTTTGTTTTTGTTTTTTTTTTAACACGTTTACACCTAAATTTACATCTCTTTTTTACTATCTATAACATCCCATTGTGAATTTCAGTGTGATTTTCCTCTCCTTTATTTTGTAGCAAAAATGTAATCTTTTACACTTCAAGGTGGTACTAACTAAATGACCTTGTGTCAGGCAGCCAGTTCTTAATTATAGGCACCTGTTACGGGTACTTGTTGATGTGTGACGGGTACCTGTTGTTCTGTGCTCTACTTTGTTCCCTTACTCTGTACTT